GTGACATGCATTGCTATACAATGTGTTGGGTGACATGGTGTGGCATGAATTGCCGCACAATGTGTTGGGTGACATATTGGGTGTGACATGCATTGCTATACAATGTGTTAGGTGACATGGTGTGACATGCATTGCTGCACAATGTGTTTTCCTCTCCAAATTGTTGCCGTCTTTGTTTTTCAATGATTTATGTGTTTTTCCTTAAAGACCGGTGAAGAATTCAGAAATTTGATGATTAATATCCCAGTCCCCACTCTGAAGAAAGGGAAAAATATCCAGAAACGTCTGGCTGGTGATGTGCCCAAATTTATAAACTGGAGAAAGAAAGGCTATGTCACCCCTGTGCGGAGACAGGTATTAGCATTTCACACGCTCATCAGTTAGGAGGTGACATGTCTGTAGAACTGAGTGAGTTGATTTTCTAATAATATTGTGATTCTTCTTGTGTTTTCACACAGTGCATACCAAACATCTTCATCCACCACTACCTTGGCCTTACATCTCCATCTAGTGTACCCCATCACATGTTAAGGTGTCACATCCCTTTTCATGCTATCTCTGACCTGTAGACATCAGTAGGCTCTACTCTTATGTGCATGTGTGTCTCCAACCATTACGACCTGAGCAAATGGCCATCAGTCAAGTCTCCAAAGAAGACTGATGTCCTGACAGGCTTCCATCAACTGCTAGTGGCTCATTTGCTTACACAGTACTCAGCTCTCTGATTTTGTTTGCTATTTGTTTGTGGATGACTCTCATTTCTTCTCTTTAGGGTAGGTGTCCTGCTTGTTGGGCTTTTTCTGTGGTTGGTGCCATAGAAGGACAGATGTTCCGGAAAACCGGCAAACTGATTCCTCTGAGTGTCCAGAACCTAGTGGACTGTTCTAGACCTCAAGGTAACAGGGGCTGTTTTGGAGGCAATACATTCCTTGCACTGCAGTATGTGAAAGAAAACGGAGGTCTGGAGTCCGAGGCAACCTATCCATATGAAGAAAAGGTAAGGGGATCTTCTATGCTATTGTTTCTTCAAGCCTGTGATCACAGTGCTATCTTAGCATGGTTATCTGTTGATAGGGTTTCCATGTGGCTGATCCTACTTCTGAAAACAAGGAGAACATTCAAAATCTTTATGTAGAATATAAATTTCTTCACTATGAAAGTTTCTTATGGACAGCAAGACCTAATGATGTATCACTTGCAACATGAGAGCTAAGTTTCAGTTCCAAATCTGTAACATTTTATTTCCTGGGATGATTTATAACAGCCCAGACTTGGAGATGCTCAGCCACAAAGCGAGGAGTATGGCTCTGACTCTTGTTCTCCAGGGCTCAGAAGTAAGTAACTCAGTCTTTTAACTCTATTTTTAAGGAAGGGCCCTGCAGATACAGTCTGGAAAATTCTACTGCTAGTATCACAGGCCTTGTGTTAGTACCAAAGAGTGAGAAGACCCTAATGAATCTCGTGGCAACTATAGGACCCATTTCTGTTGCAGTCGATGCAAGACATGATTCTTTCCAGTTCTACAAAGGAGGTAAGCATGTGCTCTTTTAGATATTAATTGAAGATATATATATATATATACATATATATATATATGGCATTTCTGTCCAACAAACCATTTTTTTAAAAAAATATCAAACGTAATTTGAGTATGTGGGTTTCCATATTTTACAGGTATCCATTCAATAATCTTGTGTATCATTGATACTTGGCATAACCTCCCCTTGCACGCAAACAATTCATAATCCATAAAATTTATTGTTTAACTTAATTTCTTGATTTTCTACATGTCTTTAAGATTCTTCATGAGATGGCATTTCTAGAATAAACCTAAAGTGGACTATGAATTAAGAAATTTATGCTCAGTATTTCTTGCTGGCAATGAATCACCTTATGTACACGTAGACAAGTGTTTATCAATACATTTATGATCACTTGGATTTTTCCTGATTCTTATGGGGACCTGTGCCAGGATTCCTGTCAACGACTTATTTGATTGTCACTGGAGTTTGTATCATTTCAGTTAAGTCAGAAAACGCCTCCCTGATGGCTGCTGACTACTCTCCCTGGTCACCGATGCTATTTTCCAGGCATTTATCATGAGCCAAACTGCAATAGTTCTATTGTCACCCATGCTATGCTGCTGGTCGGCTACGGCTTTGAAGGAAGAGAGGCAGATGGCAGGAAATACTGGCTGGTCAAGAACAGGTACAGACCACTGAGATTATTTGTCTTTCAGGTGGGGAAAGATTTTTCTGTTTCTAGAGACAGTTTTTTGGGTGGGAGTTCTTGTCTCCATGATCTTAGGCACTGAGCTATCTCCAACCTCAATCCTGGCTTTCAGTGGGATTCTGGACTTGAGTTCCAGTCCTCTATGGCCAGAACTTGATCCTCTGGGCTGTTCCTATGCCCTGAGCAACCAGGTCACGCTGTGTGGTTACAGTGTTCATATTCAGCTACTGGTTTTGTTAGGTTCTAATATAGCATCTGTGACACTGATTTTCTAAAATCGGACACAAAAATTTTTGCTTCTGAACCACCACGTGGATGGAAAATTATCCTATTTCTTCCTTGCTGTGGTCTTCACAGTCTTGTGTGAGGTAATTCTTGGTTTCCAAGAGTTGATCCTCTGCTTCTTCTGATGCTTTCTGTTAAGCGGGCCTCTGGGTCAGTGCTCAAATGAGGAGTCACTATAATAATCCATTGTGCTGTGCTATTTTTACTAAAGGGAAAAATGTTTCCTTTCAGCATGGGTAAAAAGTGGGGCATTAGAGGCTACATGAAGATCGCCAAAGACCAGAGAAACCACTGTGGAATTGCTACATATGCCATGTACCCTACAGTGTGACCTCCTTGGTGGTGACAAAGAAGGAATGGATGTAAGACAACATGTACAGAAGAGGCATTTCCTTCTCAGAGCAATCAGCCACTGCTCTGTGCATAAGACACTTCAGCAACTGATGAGCCAGTGAATTTTGTGGCATATTTACTCTAGTAAGATATGACCACTGCTGTAACTGATACTGTACACTAATTTGTATTTGTGTTTTCTGTAATAACTTGATTTTTATATTTCACTATATCAAATGATGTCTTCAAAATTAAAGGTTTCTCTAAGTGTTTCTCAGTCATTTGAGATGCATCTATTGAAACTTTTCTGTTTAGATCTATACTACATTTTTAAATTGAATTATTTGTTGTTGTTTTGATATTCAGTATCTTGAGTTCTTTATATATTTTGGATATTAGCTACTGCTGTAAGGACTAGCTGTCAGCAGCTCAGGGACTGAGGGGGAGTCATGAAGTTGATCAGACTAATTATCCAATTGATTTTTCTATCTGAGGGAATAAAATTTAATTCTCTGGGGCCAGCAAAAACAAACAAACAAACAAACAAAAAACCGGAAACACACACACACTCACTCACTCACTCACTCATTCATACACATCTTCAACATGTCAGGATCTTATCTAGAGTGCTGATGAATGGCAAGCCTTCAGCAGGTCAGAGTAACTAAAGAGGAGAAGGAGAGTAGGCAAACTACCGGGTAGACAGACAGACACATGAGGACTTTTCTTAGGACCAAGGCTCAGTTATTCATTATTACTTTTCTTTCTCTTGCCTGTTCTACTCTATTATTTCTCCAATCTGTTCTTCTACCCTGATGTGTCCCTTCTATATTTCCTGATGACTTCCTTCTACACTACTTCCCGAGGTCCCTTTTCTGTTATTTTTTCCCTTACAGCTTTTATACTTCAGCAATTTTTTTCAAGCACTATAAAAATTACAATGTGGTTACATTCTATTTTTTGAGTGAACAAATGCAATGAGTATAAGCAAAACCACAATGTTTTCCATATCCTTCACATGACCAAACATTTTACATATTACAGGTGAAAACCAAATTCTTTCTAAGAACCCATATACATTCATTTCCAAGCAATTTATTATAGCTTAGTAAAGTGTAAACAAGCAAGGTTATTTGTCTTAGCCAATTCTTTTACTGGCAGACTGCATTTTGCAGTTACAAAGACAGAATCAATCATTTTGTTATTTATTTCAAAAGATAATCTTATAAAAATTTTAAAAGAATCACAAATTTATGCTTTTATATATGAAAAACACTCAGCCAGGTCTACTTTAATTCCGAAGGGTGCATATCCATTCATCAACAGTTTTTTAATCAAGAAGCTGAGGGAAGAAATGGGTACAAGAAAATAATCATCACCTTTGATCATTGACTCATCTTAGCCAGAAAGGTACAAACATCAGCTAGCAATAGCCAGGCTGCCATTGTTTTTATTCCCTTACCTTAATGAGTACTAACTCAATTATTAAAAGTGTGCCTTCCTAAACTTTAAATTGTTCCCCAGGATTTTCTACCTCAAAGTGATTATCAAAAACATCATAACCCAACCTTAAGTCATTATTTAAAGCTTTGTTTTGACTCTGATACCTGTGAACCTGTGAAGATATCCCCCAACATTAAGATGAAAAGAATTTGAACTAACCTACCTTCTGGAACTCAGTTGTTTTCACTGATTATTTCCTTAAGCCACAATCTGTAAGGGAAACTCATAAATCCCAGTCATGTGACTCATTCTTGACTCTACTTTCTACCCTCTGTGGCTCATGTACTCTCAGGGTCAGTGGCAACACTGTCTCCTACCTTTATTTGTGTTAGTTTTCTCACTAAACTAACGCCTACCACAATCCTTTACTACATTTGTTAAAAACCCTTCATCATCAAAATTGTATTCAAATTAACATTATAATGGTATAGAATCATTACATCAGTTAAACAGTACAGTTTAAGAAGAAATAATCTTCATAATATTCCACAGTCAAAACTACCCAGTAGAATAGGGTATTTCCATGAGACAATCACACTATGTTAAAAGCAGTGTAGACCCCCCCCCACACCCACTCACACCCTTTCAGACATCAGAGAAAAATGCAGCAATAAAACATGTAAAGGCGCAGCGGCAGCAAGAGCTATTCTGGCGCTGAAGCCCTCAGGAGCCCGCCTACCTGAGATCAACCCATCAGTGCTTACTCTCCAGTGAACAATCTCTGGAATCTCGATCGTCACCTCAGCTCCTCTGATGTAGCCACCTGCAGCTGGGCCTCTATTGGATGCGGAGCTGGTAAAAATCTTATTCTATTCTGTATGCTAATGCCTTGTCTAAAGGATGGTGTCCTTTGCCTTACCCAACTTTTCAGTTTTACAAGGCTCTATTTATTAACAGCCGATCTTAGTGACCACACTCTCAGTTTTCTGTTCAGAAAGTCTTCTCCTGTGCCGCCGAGTTCAAGGCTATTCCCCACTTTCTCTTCCAACAGTTTCAGTGAATCTGGCTTTATTTGGTGGATTTTTTTGATACACTTGGACTTGCGTTGAGTGCAGGGTGAGAGACATGGATCTATTTGCATTTTCTACACACAGACATGACATTTGACCACACCATTGGTTGAAGATACTATCTTTTTTCCATTGTGTATTTCTGACTTCTTTAGAAAAGAATCAGGTATCCATATGTGTGTTTATTTATGTCTGGGTCTTCAATTGGGTCCCATGATCAACATGTCTATTTTTATGCCAATACCATTTAGTTTTTATTACTACAGCTCAGTAGCATAATTTGAACTCTGGAATGATTAGACCTCCAATAATTCTTTTTATTGTCCCAGGGCTATTTTAGATAACCTATTTTTTCCATATCAAGTTGAGAATTGTCCTTTCAGGGTCTGTGGAGAATTGTGTTGGAATTTGGATGAGGATTGTGTTGAATCTGTAGATTGATTTTGGCAGGATGGCCATTTTTACTGTGTTAACTCTACCAATCCACTAGCATGGGGGATCTTTCTATCTTCTGATATCTTCTTCAGTTTCTTTCTTCAATGTCTTAAGGGTTTTTTTTTATCATATAAGTCTTTCATTTGCTTGGCTAGAGTTACTCCAAGATATTTTATATTATTTGAAGCTATCTTGAAAGGTGCAGCTTCCCTGATTTCTCCCTCATTCCATTTGTCATTTGTATATAGGAGTGTGACTGACTTTTGTGAACTAATTTTGCACTCATCTACTTTGCTGAAAGTATTTATCGGCTCTATGTGTTCTCCACTAGAAATTTAAGGGTCATTATGTTTACTATCATATCATCTGTAAATAGCAAATATTAATTATCAGAGAAATGCAAATCAAAACTACTTTGAGATCCCATTTTACATCTGTTAGAATGGCTAAGATCAATAATACACGAGTCAGCTCATGTTGGTGAGGATGTGGAGCAAAGGGAACACTCTTCAATAGCTGGTAGGAATGCAAACTTGTACAGCCACTATTGGAATGAGTGTCACATTTCCTATAATGTTGGGAATTGATCTACCTCAAGATCCGACTATATTACTCTTGAGCACATACTCAAAGGATACTCCATCCCGCCACACACACTTGCTGAGCCATGTTAATTGTGACTTCATTGGTTTGTTTTGTCTCATTTTGACATTATAGTTTTTATTTTATCTTATATTTTATTTTGTTATATTTTTAAAAAGCAAATGAATGGATCAATGAATGAAAACCTAGACACCAAATAAAAGTGAACAACAGAACTGTTGTTATACCTACTGGTCTAGGGAAAATCAGTTTGCTCCAATGGAGTGTCACTGGACATGTTAAACAATCCGTGGCAAGTCTCATGTCCAGAAGTAGTCGGCTGGCGTATAATGGACTCCACTTTTTTTTTTTATGTGTGTGTATGTGCTTTTATTTATTTATAACTCTGTGTTTTATCCTTCTTCTGGGGATATTGTTTTATTTTTGCTATGTTTTGTGGGGTTGTGTTGTCATGCATGGATTTTTGTTTATTTCTTGAGAAAGAAATTAAAGTTGAGTGGGTAGGGAAAGGGTGTCTGGAAGAACTTGTGGGGGGAGAATATAGTCAAAATTGATTTAAATTTAAATAATAAAAACAAAATTAAATAAGTAGAGAGAATCTGGAAGAACTTAGAGGATGGGAAGAATAAGTCAAAATGATTTAAATTTAAATAATAAAAACAAAATTAAATAAATTTTAATAATGTTCTAATAATATTCTAAGTTTCTTTGATGTTTGTTGTGGTGTTTCCCTGTTCATTTGACTCTGTTAAATTGGGTCCTCTCTTTCTTTGTCTTGGAAAGTTGGGACAAGGGTCTCTCAATCTAGTTTATCTTTCCAAAGACTCATCTCTTAGATTCATTGAGCCTCCGTGTTAATTTCTTTGTTTCTATTTTGATGATGTGTGCTCTGATTTTTATTATTTCTCTCTGTCTACTGGATTTGGATTTTGTTTTTTCTTTGAGTTGCATCACTAAGGCAAATATTTATTCTCTTTCTGAATTTTTAATGTCGACATTGAGAGCTATGAGTCACCTCATAGGACTGCCTCCAATGCGCCTCAGAGAGTTCACTGGGCTGAGTTTTTATTTAGTTACAGCAAACCTTTTATTTCTTTCTTGGTTTATTTTTGGACCCATTCATCATTCAGTAATGGGTTTTTCATCTTCCTAAGTTTATATATTTACTAGAGTTTTTTTCCCCTGACAAATGCATCCATAGAGGATACACAAAGTTATTTAAATCTTTTTAAATTTATCCATTTTCTTGTGACAAGGTTTCTTTGTAGCTTTGGTCCCTGTCCCAGTACTAGCTCTTGTAGACCAGGCTGGCCTCGAACTCTCAGAGATCTGCCTGCCTCTTCCGAGTGCTGGGATTAAAGGCGTGCACCACCGCCCAGCAAATTTATCCATTTTTTTTAGTGTCTCAGCATGTGGTCCATTTTAGAGAAGCTTCCATGTGTTGCTG